GACCATCGGTTTAAACTTTTACACTCCTTTGTCGAGTGTGGCTCCACGTTAGTTTCTATCACAGGAACTCCTGTGTCGAGTTAGACTCGACGTTTTTCGACTCTTTATTTATTGAACAAGAGAACAGAAACTACTTCAATTACAACAATGTTTGAAAGCTATATTTAATATAACGAGTATACAACATTTTTTAAAATAAGTAGCAATCGAGGAACAGTCCTGTGAAGTAAATTTCGAACAAAATACTTAAAATAGTGGGGAGCAATTTGTAACCAAATTGAAAAATAATTCGGAGCTATTGGTAAACCAAATTGAAAAATAATTCGGAGCTATTGGTAAACCAAATTGAAAAATAATTCGGAGCTATTGGTAAACCAAATTGAAAAATAATTCGGAGCTATTGGTAAACCAAATTGAAAAATAATTCGGAGCTATTGGTAACCAAATTGAAAAATAATTCGTAGTGCAATGGGTTAACTTTCAAGTTTATTCGTTACACGGTTCCCGATTATTTATTCTCTCTGATAAACTAGCTTCTCCGATTTGCAATTATCTACAGGAGGTTCCGAACCGTTTCGTCTAGCGTTTTGAAGCTTGTAAGTCATTAAGCACTTCAACGAAGCATAAAATTACACCAACAGTTAATCTTCTATTCCGACCCACATGTTAAACCTCATAAATATTAAACCTTTAAGCGTCTAAAACGAGATAACTTATCGTTTGAGAAAATCCTTACTTTTCTAAATAAATGTTTTACCATTAGGTGAAATTCCAGGTGCGTAACTTTATCGTTATATATGTTACGTAATAAAAATGAAGATATAGTAGAAATAACATTAAGGGCACAATCACATATGCTATGAATAGAATGAATTAACACGTCCCCTATTTTCCTGGAAAATTGAATCTGTTTAAAATGCTATTAATGACTTTACAGAATTTATTGTTTATAATAATTCGTAATTGTAATTTATTATTTATTGTTTATAATAATTCATAATTCGAATCTCGTGACTGTCCCCTATTTTCTTGGAAAATTGAATCTATTTAAAATGCTATTAATGAATTTACAGAATTTATTGTTTATAATAATTCGTAATTATAATTTATTATTTATTATTTATAATAATTCATAATTCGAATCTTGTGATCGCTCCCTATTTTTTTCAGAAAATTGAATCTGTTTAAAATGTCATTAATCAAGCTGCAGAATTTATTGTTTATAATAATTCGTAATTGTGATTTATTATTTATTATTTATAATAATTCATAATTCGAATCTTGTGACCGTCCCCTATTTTCTTGGAAAATTGCATCTGTTTAAAATGCTATTAATGAATTTGCAGAATTTATTATTTATAATAATTCGTAATTGTGAATGTTGTGACCTTAAAGAAACACGTATGCTATCATTCGAAAGTATGAATAGAATGAATTAACACGTCCCCTATTTTCTTGGAAAATTGAAGCTGTTTAAAATGTCATTAATGAATTTGCAGAATTTATTATTTATAATAACTCGTAATTGTGAATCTTGTGACTTTAAAGAAACACGTATGCTATCATTGGAAAGTACCTAAATTTTGTAAGGTGTGATTAAATTATGAAATAAAGTAAAATCTACAATAACTTTTATAGCTATATATCTATCCTTGTATCTACATACAGATCTTACTTTATTTGAATGCTGAAATTACTTTACTCTATAATACTTGGTTTAAAATTTTATTAATAATTTAAATTATTTTATTAAAAATCTAATAAAATCAAAATTTTATTAAATACGGTTTTGATAAATTTTATGTTCACTTAATTTTCTCCTACATATAATTAATTAACCCTAACAATTTATTTTTATTCTACACAATGAATGTCCTGTATAATAAGCAATTTTGTAATTCAGTAAGTAATGTATAATAAGATTTTTCGTCTCCCTTTAATTGTTTGCTAGATTTATTATCATCCCTAAGAGAGAATGAGAGGACGAAGGATAAAAAAAAGAAAGAGAGCGAAGAACATCCTAAATATCGGTGAAATAATTAACATTCTAAGAAGGAACCACCATAAGGAGGACAATAAAGTGAACAATTTCTACGAAGGCGAAGTAAAAGCTGAGGTCAGCTATTATCTGATGAATCAGATAAAAAGGTACCTCTGCTTGGCCAAGCGTTACAGACATGCAAGATTTAAGACCGAAGGAAGACCGTATAGAACGTACATGAATGGCTGATACAGCTGGTAAAATCTGTAACGAGATTTCGAATTCAAAAATCACTTATGCAGCGAATTAGTTATGCCATCGGGTCAAGGTAACTCTCGGTCTTTCAATGGTAACTGAACTTTACGAAGGTTGAGCTTGCGGAATAAAATGTTACGTAAACTCATTCATTGAGCCAAAAATAGAAGTGCTGCTACGTCCAGCTTCAGATATAATTCTTAAAATACTGACCAAGTCTGAAAATAAATCTCGGCAGAAATCGAGTCGAACGTAATAACACAACTACTATATCTCGTGTTTCCAAATTTGGTAATCTTCGGAAATATAATTTCAATAACAATCATTAATCAACAGCGAGGAGGAAAATATTAATCTTATAATATTTACTCCAAATATCAAACTTCCAGGCAAATAATAATATATTAATATCATTATTATTAATAATAATGGACATTTGGGTATTCCAATTTTCTTTTTTAATAACAACTATTAATAATAATTATTGAATAACGATTATTATTCAATGTCGAGTAGAGAAATATTAATCTTATAATATTTACTCCAAATATCAAACTTCCAGGCAAATAATAATATATTAATATCATTATTATTAATAATAATGGACATTTGGGTATTCCAATTTTCTTTTTTAATAACAACTATTAATAATAATTATTGAATAACGATTATTATTCAATGTCGAGTAGAGAAATATTAATCTTATAATATTTACTCCAAATATCAAACTTCCAGGCAAATAATAATATATTAATATTATTATTAATAATAATAATGGAAATTTTCCAGAAAATTCCAATTTTCTTTTATATTCAAAGAATTGGACCTTAAACTTGGTAGATGAATTAAACTTCTTATTTTAATTGCAAATTTATTTGCATTTAAAATAATCATTCCATGAGAATAAATAAAGGTTGCCTCAAGAAATCAGTAGAATTTTCATTAAAAAGTTTACAAATAAAGATACGAAATACAACAGGAGTTATCATATATTGCATATTGACTCTATAATTATACAATATAAAATAAGACTAGACGAACGATATTATAGCGAGCTATTTGAGTAGTTTTTGGCAAGTATCAATACTAAATCTTACATGTACTTGGTGAGGGTGGAAGACGCTATCTCTCAAAAGCTCCTGCCAAATAGCAAGATACTTAACTCGGAAATGCTACATCCACTTGGACCTCCAAAGTGTCTACCACAACTGCAGAAAAACGTCCATAATTTACCAAAACCAAACACATAAATTTCTCATGAAAATTTGTGAAAGTTAAATCTCCTCTATCCAACCTAAAACTACCAAACGAATCAAAATAACCAATTTTCAAACATTTTATGTTTACCATCGATAAAAGTGTATACAGCTATTTTCGAATAAATTAATACTGACATTTATCAAGATAGAAAAGTAATCACACAGACTTGATTATTTTCGTTACAACGCTTTAATTAATCTTATCTATGTACACTGTGTTTAAATACAAGCCACAGGTCGGTGAAACTTAATGCTAATGAGGAGTCAACGAGAAGAGTCGATCTCTGACTACGACGTCTTACCCAATCCTCGTGTAACGCTTAAGGGACTCGAGACGAGACAACCTAACTGAATTTGGCACATCGAAATGAAGGAAATAGGCTCCTTCGATCGTTACGAAAACAAATTGCGTAACGGAACGTAACCGGAAAATTAACGCGAGGAATTTGCCAACAAGTTGTTCAAACGCTGTCGTAAATAAGCACCTCTCGCAAGTTTACGTCGTAAACAAACACAAAAGCTCGGGACTATTCGGATTATAAGACAGGGGGGAGGAAAACAGTTGGAGTACTTATTCCTCCACTTAAATGGATCATTTTATCTTGAAACGGTTCCAATAAAAGATTACTTCCAATAAAAATTGTGGAAATAAAAATAAAGTCCCAAGAAAGGAAAAATTTAATGGTATCTTGAAGTATCTTGAAGAATCCTGAGTACATGAAGTAATCCTGAAGTATCCAATCTGGAGGTACAATCAACGAGTTCATGTGATAAATAAACGCAGAATTTCTTGATTTAAAAACGATTTAACACTAGAACTACCGATCTTTAGTGGGTACCTAACTATAACGTGCACAGATTATAGTAATTTTAGCGATATGATATGAGTGAATATATTGATTACAATTCTTTCTTAATACAAGTTGATACCAATTTTATTCTTAAAGCAGGTGTATGTGTTCGATGATTGCAAAGAGAAAAATTCTGGGACTATTTTGACTGGGTTGCTAGTTTTAGTGTTAAAAACGATGAAGAACAATGAGATTTCCCAATTGGCAATAGTTAAAGTATTTCTTGTGATCTAAAAGAAAACTATTGAAACTTCTGATCTATGTTACAAGTCCACCTTGTGAACAAACAAGTGAAACGTTTTAACAGCTCCTTCAATCAAATGAACCCTTTGCACACCTAGTTCTTCCTCAATTTCCTGTCCAGTAAGTGTTCCTTATTTTAAGTGCTTAGGTAAATCGATGGGAATTAATTGAAATATATTTTGTTTGCTCGTTGTGTTTACTCGTCAAGTGTGACTAAAAATTTTCTGGAGTGAAATTAATATCGGGCCACAGCCTGCAAAGGAGTGCAAAGGATTAATATACAAGCTATATACGTTAAAATTCTCTAGTTACGCGAATAAAAAGAAGAAAAAGGCAATAATATCGAATTGAGCAAAAATAACTGACCAAATCCAAACTCTTCTCACGGTCCAGAATTCGAAACGTCGTTACCTTGCCTGAGAATGCTTTCGTAGATTCTGTAAGTGGTCTCGCAATCAGCCTCCCTCAGAGTAGGATACCTCGCGCCGCCATCCAGACTCTGGCTCCTATTCCGAAAATCCTCCTCCTTCTTCCTAGGCGGGTCCTGGCACTCGCTTTGTCGCCTGATGTGCCCCAGTCTTCTCCCGAAGTGTCGTATCATCTCCTGAATACTGTAATGATGATGATGATGAGGCTTCTCGTGATCTCCAGTCGGACTTGGCGACGTAGGTGAGGCTCTTCCGCTGCTCGTCTGGTGGTGCTGTGGGTGCGGTGGGTGCAGCTGATGAACGTGATGAAGGGGATGATGGTGGTGGATAGACTGGTGATGGTGGCTGCTACCGTGGATGGTGTGATACACCGAGTGATGGTGAATGCCGTGATGATGAGACGAGCTGTGATTGGAAGAGTTGGACCCGTGAGACGAGCCATAGGACGTTGAAGAACCGTAAGAATAGGTCGAGCTCACTGAACCTCTGGAAATTTGTTTTTGGATGTGTTTATGATTTAACAGCTCCTGCAGAATCTTCGTGTCGTGGTGTCTCGTGTCAGACGCGGAGGAGCTCTTGTCCTGGTGATGATGGTGATGGACTGTCCTCGTGTCGCCATTGTGGGAGTTATGGTGAGACAGTAGGTGGCTTATTCCGTGCATCTTGCTCAATAAAATTCTTCTCTTCTTTTATTTCGTGTAAAATTAAAATCCTTTTCGTCGTTTATCGTTTAACTGGAGATTCTAAATTGGGCAGTCTTTTCTTCTCTGGCTTCGATGTGGCTGGACGATCCACGGGATCTTGTCGTTGTTCGTTAACGAGGTAGGGAAGACGGTGTTTCGGCGAGGCTGTGACAAACAATCAGGCACTATTTTAACAGAATAGACAAAAGTGGACATTGTTCGAGACACGTGGACGTATCGATAGCGAGGATTCCACGGGTATAATCCGACTCGTCGGCTGTGAATCTACATGCACAAGATAGCTGCTGGTTTTCGTAACAACGCAGTTGGGTATTTTAATAACGGAAATAAATCCCGAGGATTTTGCTCGATCCGCGTGAATAGTGGAGGTACACAGGGGATTAATGTTGTCCGACGGATTTGCTCGTTGCAAATGAAGTTCGTCGCGAAATTCCTAAATTTAGCAGAGGTTCGAACTCTTACTTGCCGGCTCGCAGCTGACGCAAACGAACCGGGAGCAAAATACTTGTAACCCGTCTGAATTGCTTGCAAATGGTACGGAATGCGTGCTGTGTATCCGCGATTTCTGCGCGACTAGCGACCTCGTGTTGCCAATATGCACGCGTTGTGATCATCGACGATTAAGCGACTTTATGCATGGGATAGTTCGAAATTTAGATGGAAATTTAGATTCACGCGTAAGGACGAATCAATTTCTGGCAACGTGAACGATCTCGACATCTATAAACAACTGACTTCGTGAAATAGCCACGATTCCCCGCGTGATACGGGACATTGCATGCGCATCTGGCATGATCGCAAAGTTGCAAATGCATTCGATCGACACTTAGAATTTAAACGCTCTGCGATAAACGTTAACGTTTAAATTTCACCCAAGCATATGCAACAAATAGTATCCAAATACCAAAAAATTTACAAATTCTTCTGCTTTCGACCCCCAAGAAGATACAGAATTTCCCATTGGAAGATACATATAAATAATTCGATTAAAAATTAATTACTCAATATTCTCTGATCATATAATAGCATTCACTAAGCACGTATAACAACCTGAACCAAACTCGTTCGTGTAAGGTGGAGTTTAGAAAATTCCACATGGTCTGAAATAGTTGCCATATAACGATGATTGCACATTTCTATTCGTGTTAACATTGCAGTGATATAGGAAATAATAAACATTAATTTACACTGTTTGTACTGTTGGTCACCGAGGTTTGTAATATGCTTGATCGTACTAATATCAAGATTATTAACCCTTTACACTCGACGATTTTTTGGCTAGAGAAGAGTAGAAATTCAAAGATTCTCTACTAAAAAACTGACGATACTTTTTTGAGCAGTAAATAAAGAATTGTATGATAATAGAATTGGAAAATTATTAATTTTCGATACCTCAAATTTGATATATTAATTATCATCGATCTTCTAAATTTTATGAAATGATGACTGAAGCTCACCTCCCAAGTGCAAAGGGTTAATTTAAGATTCATATCTAGGTTAAAACAATTCCAATAATTTTCAATAATGACAATTTTTCAAGTGATCTGAGGATAGTGATATTATTTTACGCTTATTTTTGTCTACTTTTTATACATTTTTTTATTTCTTTATATCTAAACCGATTTTTTAAGATATCTTTTTATTAATTCAGATGCCACTAAATTTTTTATTTCCTATTGATCAAAAAATGGTGAACCGAGGATTGCGATATTATTTTACATTTATTTTTTTCTACTTTTTATATATTTTGTTATTTCTTTACATCTAAAGCGATTTTTTAAAATATCCTTTTATTAATTCAGATATCACTAAATTTTTAATTTCCTATTTATCCATAAATAACATTGTTATTAATAGTAATTGATCCCCTTTTATCGGATGTTAGTTGCACACAATTTTTTAAGGTAATAATTTAAAAAAAAATAAGGTAATAATAATTAATAAATTTTTGAAGTAATTTAAATTTCCCTATTTCTCTAAAAGAAATGTCGAATATTTCTCGGTATATTGGACTTCGACTTATACCTTTAAGTAAGCAACATAGATAAATCTGCCAACGTGTAATTTCATTCGACGATATGGAATGAGGAGGAAATTTTTCTGCAAATCAAAACAGGAAGACAATTGACACAGCAAGGAATTATCTGATATAACTCTTCCGTTCTAGAAGCAAGACTATTTAGTTCAATTAAAATCGATCGTTAAGTATCTAACGACAGGCTCGTTGAACTTTGTTACCGAGTAAACTTTATCGTCGATTGCTCAAGATTTAAACGTGGAAACAAATCCGGTCTGAACAAGAGCAAACTGAAAGGAACGAAATGACAAATTGCGTGATTGGATACGGAATCAAATGTACGGACGAATGTAAGTATTACTTAAACGTGTGTTATGGTACTTGAATTGATGTGTCAGGCACATCCTCGAGGGTTAAATTAGAATTCAGGAGGAAGCATTTAGCACATGCGGCTGATTGCGAGATTGGAGGAAGTACTCCGAGCTACCGATTATCGTGTTGTTTCTACGTGAATGATCCCATTTTCCTATTACTCAAAATAAAGGAATTTCATACTGGGCAACTGATTTCAAACGGGGTGAAATTCTCTTTCGGTTAACGACGAAGTAATTTTAATTATGAATCGTATAATTACATCGACGTAAATTATCATATATTATTATATATTATTGCATTAATATAAAATTATATTAACTGTATTATTTATATTGTAGGATAGCATTGCCAAAGAAATCGCGAATCGGCCATTGCCAATAAAAACAAATTATAAACCGACCAATATTTTCTAAAAGCAAGTGGAAAAGTTATTTTGGGTAACAAAATTAAGTTGAGTGGCTCCCCTACGGGGAGGTGAAGCGTAGGCCAAGAAAAGCATAAAACCAGGGCCCTTGACGACCAAAACAGAGTCCTTAGAAATCAATTGTGACCAGCACGAGCGTGAGTCGCTTGGTGTTGGAAAGAGAGTTAAATTAGAGTGCGTCTTTGTGTGTTTTCGTTGCATTAACTTGGTGTTATTTTCCTAAGTTAAAATAGTTTCACGAGTTTTGAGTGTGTGTTATTCCATTCTTGTTGTTTTGTCAATTTTTGGTGCCTCAAAACCAGTTCTCGCCATCCTACAATGTTGACACTTTATAATTTCAATTTCACTTGTTTTTAACAGAAGAGATTACAATTACTGAACACAATTGTGTACCATAATCTCAAATCTAGGCATTCATAAATTCTATGGAAGAATCTAGACTAACTTATATTGTATTACATTGTACTTGTGTAGTGTGATTCTAGTGTAATGATATAACAACAAAATACAATAGCAAAGCTATCAGTAAATGGAAGAAAATTAAAAATATAATAAATTAAAAGTAAAATTGAAAATGATGAATAACTAAGAATATAAAATTATACAGATTCATTATATTTTCAAATATCTTCCTCTTGTGACTATAAACTTTAAAAGATTTCTTCAAGGTGTTCCATAAACTTTGGAATGCTTCCTTGAGGACCATTTAGAGGGTAAGACCGATTTACTTTAGTATCGTTTGAACGTTCACGCTTTCTGAAGTCCCAGTGTTATCAGGAAGTCGAAATCGGGGCGCTAACCTCCCAGTTGTATACTTGGAAATGTCCCGATTTTGACAACGGGGTCGTCGATGTGGCAAATTTCGGGGTCGTGGCAGGGAAACTGGGTCATATCGATTGACTGTCTGCCCATTCTGGAGGAGTGCACGCTCAAAGAAATTATTATAGCTCTCCTTTCTTTACCTCTTTTGTTCGACGAAACGAGGAGTAAAATTGGTCGAAGAAGCTAAGACAAGGAACTCTCGGGCAACAATACCGAAAGCTAAATTCGAATCGCGATCCCGCATCCTCCTGAGATTCCTTTCCTTTCGTTTATCTTATTATACTTCGGAACTTTATTATGTAAGAAAATCAAAAATGATTTGCTCCACGATATTTCAACCTGTGGGATAAAAAGATATTTTACTGAGAATTGTACGTGAAATGTATTCATAATACACCTACATATATGCTGAAATAATACTAAGTTAGCTAATAAGTAGAGCATAAGGCTGTTTCTATGTCAAGCGAATTGATTATCATTTTATACTAAATATAATAATATCTTTTTTAACCAACCTAATATACAAATATGTATGCTGGTAACTATAAAAGCAGCTTAAGATGAAAATATAAAAGAAATGAATTTTTTACTTATTTTGTATTACATCTATATACCTTGGGATAATCTAAAACTATTTTTGTAACGTAACAGAAGCTAAAACTGGTAAAATCTAGGTTCCTAATAGTTTTAATATTCCTTATATTATTTGAGAATTTAAATATTTATATGAATATAAAACTATTTGAATATAAAGCAACGAATCTTAGCTTTGAGTATTGAGAAAGTTTGTTAAATGTAATACATATCATGTAATAATTATACCGGGATAATAAGTCATGGTGACGTCTGCAGAATCATTATTCTTCCAATCACGCATAGCATTTATAACGGAAATCGTTTCCAGCATATCATTCAGAGAAATACGCATTGAAAGAATAATATACGGTTTAAATGATAATGAAGACTCCCAATGTAACCTATTAATTTTCAGTGATACTAATATCTCAATAAAATATGTCAATACTTATTTACTTAGTGACCTCAATGAATTTGTTAATCTGATAATAATTGAAGTTTTATACAATAAATAACTAATAATAAATTCTTACCAGTTTCAACACTACGCCAATCTTTACAATCCATACAACAATGTATCAAATTAATTCTTGGTAGCTTCACTAAAAAGGTTGAAATATTACTGAATATCGATAAAAATTAATGCAATGTTAATGATTCGCGTAACTTAAGTATGAGGTTGATTATATACTACTCTATATCCTCGTGCAAATTTATCGCGTTCGTCGTTTTGCATTTAAGATCACACCCTTCTGGCTAGAGAGTTTACTACGTTCTTCCTAAATGTTCCCTTCTCGATCGATGGAAACTCCTGGTTTCGGCGCAATTTCGATGGGGGTTTACGCGCAAAGGCGATAGCCCTTCCAGGGCTGTTACTCCTACAATCCAAGTCACCCTTGGAGAAGCTAACGTCTACTGGTTAACTTTGGAAAGTTGCGAAAAACAAGTCC